GCCCCTTCACGTGCACACACCCCAGGATCCACCCCACTGCCCCTTCACGTGCACACACCCCACGATCCACCCCAAGCCCCTTCACGTGCACACACCCCAGGTCATTGCTGAGTTTATACTAGCAGTAGCTGAATATATTTCTCTATTTTATTCTTCTCTATTTTTTAACACTTGAAATATTTTTCAGAAGTTGGCTGCAGTATGGGCCTTATGTGCAGTGCATTGTTGTTTTTATAAGTTGTTTTATTATTCATTTTAAAATTTTCTTTTGTGATATCTTGTTTTCAAATAATTAGTAAATAATAATAAATCTCATTTGCACTAAAACCGTCTTGAAGAAAACTTTGTTTTATACTATTTGATACACTATTGTTTTATTGTGCCAATAAAATTTTTATAATATTAAGTGTTGCATGAATTGCAATCAAGATAAGCCAATTTTATTTACATTTCAATACATTTCATGCTGAGGCTAAATTCAAAGTAAAGTCACGGACAAAGCCGAGGGATACGGCGTGGCCTTGAATAATGTATACAATGCAAATTATTTGACATCAATTCCAGCAAAACGAATAATTTAGTGTTACTAAATCTAGTCCACGTGCAAAATTATGCTGGTGGGATGTTTAGATAAGACTGTATCAGATTCAGACTAAATCATTATCCTAGACATTTTGCGGATAAACCTAGTAAGCCCCGCCTCCTAAGAAAAAAAGGAAAAAGAACGACGATTAGCCATAAGTCGTTATTCCTATGGCTACAATAAAGTCAGTCATTATAATGCAAAGTTTTTGTAAAACTTTAGGTTTTATTGACCTGTGATTGCATATCAGAATAGCCAACGAAGCCCCAAGATCAAGACCAATGCAGTCAGATTTCAAAGGTAGATCACAGGGATGCCAACTTCCAGGCATCTGGCGTGGCGTAACAAATCCTACGGCAAAGCGTTGGGGTACTTTCTACAAACTATTAAAACAAGGTATTAAAACTGTTACATACATGTAATTTTAAAAATCTCACTCCACGAAACTGACCAAAGTTGGCAGCCCTGGTTCAGTTATGACAATGCTGTCATTAACGATTATTTTCTAAAGGGGAAATCCTTCCCTGGCTGCTGGGTAGGAACCACAGTCATTAAGGTCTCGGCGTGCAGGGGCGCGGACGACATTCTGTGCCGCACGCGCATTTTGAGTGAAATCGGGGATGCACCGCGGAGAATGAGTTGTCATTATTAGCGGCTTCACAAATTTATGTCTATGTCAGAAATTGCAGCGCAATTCATATATTTACCTAGGGAAGAGGCGACTGTAAATATCCCCGCGTTCAATTTTTTGATGCCGATTGCTTTTTACTGACATTGAAAGCGTGAAGATTATAGGGACCTGGTAACAAAAAATAGGGAAGGAAAATGCTGCTAACGTTGTATGAACTTTCCGTCGAAAATAAGATTTTTTACGCCGTGCTTCTCTTCTCATGGACGGTGTACCTTTGGGAGGCCTATCTTGCCTCCAGGCAGGTGAGTAAAAATGCAAGCGATTGCAGTCCGGTCCGCTAAGCTCAAAGAAACGGGCTTTTAAAGGGATCAAACATTCTTTAAATGGAATACCTTTCACTACATAGCCGTCTTTTTTTAAACCCATGCACATTATGGTTCATAATTTGTTGATATATATTTCCTTCTGTTTAACCAAAGCGGAAGATTTATAAGTCCACCATTCATGTCCCGGTTGAATTGGGCAAAATCATGGACAAGGAGACCTTCGAGAAGTCGCGCCTGTACCAGCTGGACAAGAGCAACTTCAGCTTCTGGTCAGGGTTGTATTCAGAGGCCGAGGGGACGGTGAGTTGTTTCTTTTTTGTTTTTTTGACGATGGTGTCTGGACATCGACCTGGGTCCCAAGAACTAGCTGGATAGTGAGGGCATACAACATGGGCTGAAAGTGTTCCTTGTCTTGACTGTTCTGTCTCCCCAGCTCATCTTGCTCCTTGGGGGGATCCCTTTTCTCTGGGGGGTCTCTGGTACGATCACTGCCCGGTTCGGCCTTGGTACTGATTATGAGGTGGGTGTCATAATGGCGCTTGGCATATAAAACTGTGCTGTAGGGATCTGATAAGCATTTGGCAGTCTTGGTTGTGAGGTCACGCTGGTTTTAGGTCTTGACGCCTATTTTCTTGTAGATCTCCCAGTCCTTGGTTTTCCTGATGCTAGCCACACTCTTCAGTGCGCTCACTGGCCTGCCTTGGAGTGTCTATAACACCTTCGTCATTGAGGAGAAGCACGGCTTCAACCAGCAGGTGAGCCGACAGCCTCTGGTGGGGGCCCAGGCCAGCTGGATGACCTCTGCCCTCCCCCGGGGCCCCGAACAGGAGCTGACAAAGTCCTGGGAATGATGGAGATGGTCACCTTGTTGTTGAGTCACACTTCCTGACTTGCTTGCAGGTAACCGTGCCCAGACGGCTCCCTTTTCTCATAATCTCTCTTTTTAGACACTAGGCTTCTTTCTGAAGGACGCGGTTAAGAAGTTTCTGGTGACTCAGTGCATCCTCCTCCCCGTCACCTCGCTCCTCCTCTACATCATCAAGATCGGTGGCGACTATTTTTTCATCTACGCCTGGCTCTTCACACTCGTCGTCACTCTGGTGAGTTGCTGTCTTCCCTCACATAGCAGTGACCTTGCTTTTAGGGTTGCAAAATTCTAGGAATATTCTTGTTAATTCCCATACTTTCCCGTTAATTCCCATGGAAAGTTTCTAATGTGGAATATTTCCAAAATTCCCCAGCTTAACTTCCCATGGAACGGAAAGTTTCAGGAAAATTTCCAGAAATTTTCCAGCCCTTTGCAACCCTACTTGCTTTCCTGGGAGCAGAAGCTGGAGGAGTTAATAAAGCCCCTTTGAAACATGCAGTGCCGCCATAAACTTCTAGACATTACACAGAGCTGTATGTGTGAATGCCAATATCTGAATCAGTCGTACTCCGACTGATTACTCTGACTTCTTACCTTTTTCTATTTTTATTTCTTTCTATTTTTACACAGCCACATAAGGGTGACACAGAGATACATTTCACTGCATGTTGTATGTATGTGACAAATAAATCTCTTGACTTGACTTGTACTAGACACCTGCTGACTCCTTAGTACAAAGTCTGGGTAATTTCTGTGACCCCCATGTGTGATTGGAGCAGGGAATTGTTCAGAGAATTCACCGTGAGCAAGTGTTGATGGTGTTTCTATCAAGCGTGTGGTACAGAAATGGAATACAGACAAACCTTACACATACAAACCTTCTCAAGCTGCTGCTGGACACAGATTCAAAACGCTGCAGATTTCATTCTCTGGTGGGATCTGTGTATTTGTAGTGTAACTGCTTTTAGTCTTTTCTGCTTGCCTGTGTTTTGCTCTGCATTCTTTCGGTGATATTGCAGATATGTCCAAACACATGTAGAATTGATGTTTCCGATGTACGATAAATAAAACATGGAGATTTCTGCCGTGTCTCGCTCATGCTCCACCCAAGTGCCGCCCCTTGTCTAAACCAACTGGAGTATTTCTAGTAGGCATGAACACGTCAGACAACGTCTCCGGTTGAGTACCACGTGTGAAAGGAATTCACCAGACACCGTCCGGAGTTCATGTATGAGAACGATGTAAGACACCCAGTTGCCCCACTTTTCCCACTTCTCCACTGGGCAGGTTCTGGTCACGATATACGCTGATTACATCGCCCCACTGTTTGATAAGTTTACGCCTCTGCCGGACGGAGAGCTGAGGAAGGAGATCGAGAGCCTGGCCCAGTCCATCAGCTTTCCCCTCACCAAGGTCTACGTGGTGGAAGGTAAGGGGATGTGTGCTGCCTCTGACCAGACTGTGACACGGCCGGGAGATGTGTGCTGCCTCTGGCCAGACTGTGACACGGCCGGGAGATGTGTGCTGCCTCTGGCCAGACTGTGACACGGCCGGGAGATGTGTGCTGCCTCTGGCCAGACTGTGACACGGCCGGGAGGATGGCGTTTTTGAGATGCCTTTTTCCTCTGCTCTCACCTCAGGGTCAAAGCGCTCGTCACACAGCAATGCCTATTTCTACGGGTTCTTCAAGAATAAGCGCATCGTGTTGTTCGATACCCTGCTGGAGGATTACTCCCCGCTGAACAAGGGCCCCGAGGTGGAGCCCCAGCAGGGGGCAGGGGACGAGGGGGACGAGCAGAGCAAGCCGAAGGCCAAGGTGCGCACCTCCACGCATCTGACAGAATGTGATGTGCGTGATGTGCAAGTCATACCCCTGACCTCTAACCTCTAAACTTTGCAGAATAAGAGGCAGGGCTGCAACAACCCAGAGGTCCTGGCTGTGCTGGGACATGAGCTTGGCCACTGGAAACTGGGACACATGGTCAAGAACATCCTGATAAGCCAGGTGCGTGCCTGTGCGTCTCACATCTGAGTGTGACATGGCCATCCAGCTGCTACCCCCCTCCATCTCCTCCTCCATTTCCCCTCTTACAGATGAACTCCTTCCTGTGCTTCTTCCTCTTTGCTGTCCTGATTGGCCGGAAGGAGCTCTTCATGGCCTTCGGTTTCCATGACAGCCAGCCCACTCTGATTGGTCTGATGATAATATTCCAGTTCATCTTTTCGCCCTACAATGAGGTAATGCCTTAATCGGTATTTCCCCCCAAGGTCTCTGAACCTAGGAGGACCTATTTTTGATACGTGCTCTTTGATACGCAGTGTGTTAAGCAATGTGTGTCTGTGTTTCTAAACATGCTTCACTATGCTCCTCTTCCCCTTGGCAGCTGCTGTCTTTCTGTCTGACGGTGCTGAGCCGCAGGTTCGAGTTCCAAGCCGACGCCTTCGCCCGTGCCATGGGCCAGGCCTCGGAGCTCTACTCCGCCCTCATCAAGCTGAACAAGGATAACCTGGGCTTCCCCGTGTCCGACTGGCTCTTCTCCATGTGGCACTACTCCCACCCTCCTCTGCTGGAGCGCCTGAGGGCTCTGCGGGGCCCCAAGCAGGACTGACGCTGCCCGCGGAGGGAGGCGGCCCCCCTGCCTGGCTACCCCAAAGGAGCAGCCTTTCCTCCAAAGACCCTCTGATACTCCAGCCTCTCCTACCCCACCCCCTCTCCCGCCTCTCTTCCTCCTTCATTTCTCCTCCATCTTGATTTTGCTTTTGTTAGCTCACCTGAATGTCAGCATCAAACGAACGCGTTTGCTGTAGGAGAGCCAGGCTGCGGCTGCTGCTGTGGTCTGTCAAAATGGTTTGGCTGAGATGCTCCCCATATACGTTTTACTTTTTTAATCCCTTGTGTCTATTAGACAGACTATTAATATGTAACAGGCTGTCTGCTGTCAGACCAGGAGCCTCTGCCCTCTTTGATGCTTGTCTCGTTGCCCACCGTGTGTCTTATCCACTGAGTGATGTTACCATCAGTCTTATGTCAGACCTTTCTGTGGTTTCATCAGATCAGTTTGGGGAAAGTTGACATTGCAGCATTTTTAAAATCCCATTATGACTGTACTATGGACGATTAGCAAAGTTTGTCTGTTCCAGAATACTATGAAGTGGAGGCGTTTGTCAGTTTTTAAACAAGGATTATGGAAATATTTTTATTATTTTAATATTTTTGATTTCACCTGATTTGAACAAAATCGCCTGAAGTCTTTTTGTTTGGTTAGTAGGAAGGGAGGGTCTGACCATAAATTGTAAATAATTGTTCAAAAAAGAAACCTCGAATGAAAAGTCGAGTATGTTAACATTAGCTAGGAATCTTAAGTTTTGCCTCGTATGATTTTGATTCTTTATGTTCGTGCCTGCGTGTCTGCACGGACCTGACGGAGATTTGGGTAGAGGCCGTGTGGGCGTGGTGGCATATGTGGCCGGCTGGGCGGAGCCAAATGGGGCGTGGTGGGTGCGGCCGGCTGGGCAGGGCTTCCCTATCCTCGCTGAGGTCCATTTCCTCACGCTGCGTAAATGCGAGGCACCCTCGTTATTTCAAGTGTTTTGAGTTGAATCTGAGTGATGTACTTTCATTGGGAAAAATGTGAATAAAACTTTCACAACAGCCTTGCCGCCTGCGACCGTATTTTTCTGTGCAGACGTTTCAGAAGTTGAACTATCTCGATATGCGGCTTACGCATAACACGTTGCAATTACACTTTGTGTAACAAGCAATACTTGTAGGCAACATTTTTAAACACTAGTAGTCCATCTGCATGTTAATTTAAGTGAATGAAATAATTTAAATTTTAGTCTTAATTTTAGACAGTCACAAAGACTACGTTTTTTTTAAATACGTAACTGCATGTTTCAAATACTTTGTCGGGTTATCTTGACCTTAGATGAAATCATTCCGCTACTTTTCAATTGTATGAAAAATATATCAGGCAATGTACTAAATATACATTTCAAATTTTCAATTTTTAAATGGTAGTGGGATGCTGAAACGAGTGTTTTGGACACCACAGACATTTAGATAAGTCAGGTTGATCACTGTATCTTACGTCATATAACAGCGCAGTATACTATGGCATGCAAGCGTGTAAAGCAGCGGTGGCCAGTCTTATCCGCAAAGGGCCGGGGTCTGTGCAGGTTTTTGGGGTAACCTTTAGGTCAGCTGTTCAAACCCAGGTGTGAGGACTCCTCAGCCAATCAGTCCTTTAACTAGTAATATGATTAGGGAGCTGCAGCGAAAACACGCACACACAGCGGCCCTTTGCGGATAAGATTTGCCACCTCTGATGCAAAGATCACGAAGGAATTGGGGCAGCTTCGTCGCATATCAAACACGCACCCACTGATGAAGGGACACTCTGACTAGCCGACCGAACCATTACGCTGAAACTACAGTGACTAGTATTTTTGTCTTTATATTTTATGCAATATTTTCAACGAAATCAAAGAATATGCATTTTTTTCCACGAATAGATGTCCGTAGTTTCGATTGGTTTAGTGAAATGGGTTTTTCTAGGTTGTTGAAAGGTTTCGTAGCACCCCTGTGTTAGTATTTGGTGGGCCCTCTTCCATCCGTTATAGCGGACAAGGACACCAGCCCTTCCTTGATAGTAGAGAGCGGCTCCACAATCAGTCGCAATGTCACGACTGTTAAGATCCAATTTGAGGGGTTTACTGACCATGCAGATCCGGATGTCATCCGACCAGGTAAAACAGTAACCTGTGCTCATCCGTGGACCCTGCATATGTATAGACGTATATGTATTTGTACTGGGACGTCGGGTTGAACGTAAGTGTACTGGATGTGTATGTGGGAGGTGGAGGCCTTGGGCTCATTTTCATTCACTATGCTAATAGATGAAGGCCAATTTAAATGTTGTCTAAGTGCTGTTTGTTAGCTATCCTTGGATCAAAGAAACCCGCTACGTGGTATATTTCCATTTTTGTTTAGCGTGTGGAAAGAGAACCACAGGCGTATCCGACCGGCTTTGAAGTTTGAAATGAATCGCGGCTAGATAATGCATATGACGGAAAATAGTTTTAAATTATTAATTTCTCTATTCATACCCGGTAAACAGTTGGCTAAATCGTAGTAGGACTTAACTGATTTATTTTAATGATAATCATCTTGCACTGACTAGCAAAATGGCTTGTTCTGTTTTGTAACTTGAATGTACATTTGAAGATATAACCGATAGGGGAAAAGCTGAGTTATTCTTTTCCCAGTTCCGGACAGTCCTGTTTGGAAAAACCTTTTTTTTTTTTTTTTTTTTTTGTTTGTTTGGAAAAACCTAACCAGGTCGCTTCACTCTTAAGTGACGAACTAAAAGCTTAAAAATGCCTGAGTTATTTTCAGAAGGTTATCCTGATACTAGGATCCACACATTGCAGTTCCCAGTGTTTATACCGGATTTGTCTTTTGTGTGCTTTAAAGCCTTGTGTAGGATATGAGTCGCATTAATTTTGTCCACAGTGGATTTTGGCGAAGTGCTTGCATATTTGTTAGTGTTGCAAAGTGCCAGCTGTTTCCTGAGTCCTTTTAAATGTGTTGTCCTGAACTATGCTGTGTTACATTGTGATGGTGTATGACTTCCCTCCCCATCTGTGGTTTAGCTGGGTGAGCTGGGCAAAGGAGCAGGTAAGGGTGGAGGTGCTGGAGGCGCTGTGCGAGAGGCTGGAGGAGCTTTTGGCAAAAAGCAGGCAGCTGAAGAAGAACTCTACTTCAAGTGAGTTATGGGACCGTGTATGAAACCCAACATCACTGTCTGTGATGAAGGGGGAAAACTCAGCCATTTCACTAATTAGGTTGCATCTAATTTGCGATATCAGAGCCCCCTTTATATCCATTGGTAAATTGTATGTCTGGATAACTTGAAATGGGAACATCATGATTATAGCAGAACTGCGGCACGTGTAGGACTCACCTTCAGCTTTGTGCTTGCAGGCGTAAGGAACAGGAGCAGTTGGCTGCACTCCGGCAGCACCACCAAGAGGAGATCGAGCACCACAAGAAGGAGATTGAGCGGCTGCAGCGCGAAATTGACCGGCACAAGGGCAAGATCAGGAAGCTGAAGCACGATGACTGACGGTCTCGCTGCCGTGGTGCTCTGCCAATGTACTTGAGTGCCTCCGGGGCCAATGAGACGACACTCCATGTCCCCCTGCCAGGCTCCCTCCTCTGACAGGATGCTTCACCTTTGTGTTCCACTGCATGTGTGCACACTTTATGATTATGTGCTTGAGTTCATTAAAAGAAATTTTCTTCTATTAAAGTGTCTTGGCTGTGGTCATCTTAATATGGCAAATTGCAGGATTTGTTTTGCACAAAATTAACCTGATATATAATATAATGAGGAATGAGAATCAAGATTCAGCGTAGGTCCAGTTGGGTACCACCTACTAAGAGACGCAGGCTGGACGTGGCCAAGATCAGGCTGTTTTTAATGAGTTTGCACACAGTTTGTGTGAGGAACCTGCAGACTTGGGTTCAACTGCTGATTCTAAGGTGACGTGGGAGACCGTCTGTGACAAGACCCTGAAGATTGCAGAGTGCTGTGTTGCTGTTGCCGGTGTTCCCAGAAGATGTTTTTTCTTGCTAGGCACCCTGGATTTTATTGAGAGGAGTCGTAGCACACGACTTGATGGCAACTCTGGTCTGTACTGGGAACTGAGAAGGACGGCTGCGAGGGCTCTGAGGGCAGATGAGGTGTTTTGTTAGAGGGATCCGGGAGCAAGTGACGGATGATCTATGGTCTAGCGACCCACGTCCTGCTTACAGAGGAATCGAAGCATTATGCACATACGAATCTGTTCTTCAGTTGCAGTCAGGGTGGGTGGAGGTCTTAGATGACACTGCAGTTGTGACCTGCTGGGCCGGCTACTTTGAGAAGCGGCTTCAAGCTGGTCCTCAGGCTATGATGTTGGAAGTTTTTGGGTCCACAGCTTTTCCTCCAATTAGCTATGAACCACCCACTCCCACTGAGATTACATGGGTAGTGACCCAGCTGGGTAGGGAAGGCTGCTGGGATCTGTGGTATCCGGGGTGAACTTCTCCAGGCTGGTGGTAAGGCTGTCCTGGCATTGCAAGCAATCTTTGCTTCCATATGGGAGATGGAACTGACTGGAAAACGGGACTTGTTGTCCCTATCTGGAAAGGGAAGGGTGATCGCCTGGATTGTGGCAACTACAGGGGGGTGACACTGCTCTCAGTGCCTGGTAAGGTCTTTGCGAGGGTCATCTTCAACAGGATCCATGAGCATTGGTTTGCCTACCAGTGACTGGAGCAGTCTGGTTTTACACCTATACCGTCGACCACATCCTAGCACTGAGGGTTCTGAATGAGCACAAATGAGAATATCTGTAGAATTTCTTTGCAGCCTTTGTTGATTTTTGTAAAGTGTTGTGGGACATCCTGAGACTTCATGGGATCTGGGCTGTACATTAGAACTGTGAGTACTGTACAGAGCGGAGGCAGAACCTCTGCATTCGTCTCAGTTGATTCTGAGGTTCATCAGGGTGTGTTCTTGCTCCAACTCTGTTCAGTGCTTACATGGACTGGGTGTTGGGCAGGGTCGTGTGGTCCATCGGCTGTGGGGTATCTGTTGGAGGAGAAAGATTCACAGATCTTGACATTACCGACGACGCTGTATCGCCGTGGTGTCGAAGGAGGCTCTAATGAGGGCTCTCGAGAGACTGAGTGAGGAGTCTGAGTGTCTGGGCTTGAGAATGTCCTCCATAAAAACTGAGATCCAGGCCTTTAATGACTTATTAGGCACAGGCATCAGTAGTGTATCTGTCTGCATGGAGAATGTTGAGCTTGTTGCGAGATTTACTTACCTCGGCAGTGACATTTATGTCACAGCACTACGGCCATGTGGCACGTTTCCCTGAGGGTGATCTGGCTCACAGGACCGTCATTGCCGAGAATCCGAGCAGCTGTACCAGGCCAAGGGGGCACCCATGTAACACCTAGCTGTGGCAGATATATGGCCATTTCCAGGGGGGTGGGACGGCAGTGTGTGTCTTGTTGCGTATGGGGACACTAACTGGAATCCCAAGGTGTTTCGTTATGTGATGGGTGCTGCAGCGTGCTGTACCAGCGATGCTCCCCGACCAGAATGAAAATGGGAAATCAATAAGCCAAATGCATGTTTCAGCTTTCTGAAAACTAGTATTTCATGAGATTTCCCCAAATTGCCCCAACAAGAACTATGTCCTTGATGTTCAGGGAACAGATTAACTAACTAGACATTTAAAAATCAATTTATCTGTATGACTCTTTTCTACATTTGAAGCAATGGCCTTCTGAAATTCAGAATTCAGAATCACAATTCTGAATTTCAGAAATTCCATAATTAGTTTCAAATGTTGTCACATATATGTGTAGTGAAATATTTCTTCCACCTGCTTCATGGATTGTACGTAAAGGCGAAACACGTAATATAAAGAATAACAGTATATACCAGGGTTCTTCAACTCTGGACCTCGATTCCAAATCCAGGCCGTGTTTTCAGTTCTCCCAGGTAGTTGTTTAATAATTACTGATTCTGATTGGTCAGAGGCTTCACACCTGACTGACAGGTAAAGGAAGGCTGGAAAACCAGCAGGGCTCGGACCTCGAGGACCGTGAGTTGAAGAACCCTGGTATATACGATCCGCAAAGAAAATGGCTAATTAAAAATCCAATGACCCCGACGTGATTTGAACACGCAACCTTCTGATCTGGAGTCAGACGCGCTACCGTTGCGCCACGAGGCCCGCGGCGATATGGCCGTTTTCTTCTTAATTTGTAGTTTAAAAAATTGACGTAAACTAGGAACGTAATACGTATGACAGTATCGTCACGTGGGATCCATCTAAGCTCCACCCCTCCCCTGATTTCTACACCCAGCAGCCCCGTTCTTCTTTCTTTTTCCTCATCATGGCGGACCGCTTCAATAAGGTGTGTAATGGTGTCACAGTAAACGGAACGAAATGTGAATTAAACTCGAAATAGTCGAGTGTTTATGGCGATTTCATGATCGCACCATTTTTCTTCCACGATATTTGAAAACTTGGTGCATTACGTGACATATGTTAGTAAATATTTCACTGGTCTGACAGTGGTAGCGCTGAACTGTGTTAGCTAAGGTAACCACGTTGTTTGACTGATGACACGCTAACCGGTCCAGCGTCTTTAGACGGAAATATTTCTTATCCTAAGCAGTTATGTGTTTCGTGTCAGTATTTTGGATTTCGTTCGTACATTTTGGACTTATGCGGATCCAGGATTTCTGTGCTTTATTTCGCTGGGCCGCGCTGGCTGACTTACTCTAGCGTTGCTCTGCCGCAGTATGTCGGCCTTTTTAGTTTTTTTACGATTAGCTGTAATTATTCTGTTTTATTTTACAGCCACACATTCATAGTCAGGGGTGCATATATGCTGTCGATGTTTTCAGATGTGACTGGCTGAATATGTTTGACCTTTTACGTGTGTTTAGCGCATAGAGGTATTTTTGGCTGCATGTATACGCGATTTCCATCAAATTTGCTAATCGTCGGTGATGTTTGAATACAGCCTATAGTTCGAGTTTCAACGACTATGAGAAGGCTTTTCATGCACTACCATCTGAGACGAATGGCACCACGATAAAGAGCCGGCTCTCTGGTGCGCAGGCTCCACATTAACTGTCTGTCTCGTTTTAAATCCCCAGGTTCTGCTGCTTGATGGCAGAGGCCATCTCCTTGGTCGTCTTGCCGCTATTGTGGCGAAGCAGCTTCTGCTTGGTAAGAAACTTATTCCAGGACGTATGGTGTGAGTAAGGTACTCAATTTGGTAACTGGGTAAATCAGGAGTAATTTCCTGCCTCGGAAAGTGTTAACTAGCCGTTTTATATTAAATCCATCGCAGTAGCTTAAACGAATGATTGTGTGCAATATTATTGCAGAGGCCTATATATGAACTAATGATAAATGAATCCTGATTTACCTCTGAGGTTGTTTTAAACCTAAAAAACATTGCTGTATTGGCTCGTCGTTGATGATGCATAACCTACATTGTTTGAGTTTAACTACCATGAGAAAACTCTCATGCACTACCATCTGAGACAGCCAAGGGTACTCAGAATGATGCCCGTGATCACACACCTCTGCTATTCTAATGGTCGTTCTTGTTACAGGCCAGAAAGTCGTGGTGGTGAGGTGTGAAGGGATCAACATTTCTGGAAACTTCTACCGCAATAAGTGTGAGTGTATTCTGATGTTCAGAATAGGGTTCTTTGTTTACCTTATGCCACCTTGTGCCTGCTGGTATGAGCAGCAGGAATTGTGACAAAGCGAGCTGAGTGGCCTCTGTAAATTTAGTGATACCACAAGTGTGATGAATGCTGGAAATTGTTGCCCAGCTCTGGAGACCGCCAGCTAAACTTTATGCTGTATGATTACTTGAATTTGATGTATGGAAGGTGATATAAAAAAGTAGACGGAATGAAACTCCTGTTGCTGGTTAGCAGGGCCGTAATGTTGCCATTTGCTTTTGGATAGTGAAGTACCTGGCTTTCCTTCGGAAGCGGATGAACACCAACCCTTCACGTGGACCGTATCACTTCAGAGCACCCAGCAGGATTTTCTGGAGGACAGTGAGAGGTGTGTGAGGGGCTTCGTCTGGTGCTCTTTCATTGGTCTGTCCCATACTATGATGAACACTTTATCCCAAACCTGAATTTTTTTGATGAAACAAAATTACGGATCTGACTACTGAGTTGGGCAGTCTGCAAAATACTGTTTAAAAAAAAAAAAACTCAGTGTTGGCTGTAATTGGAGCTGACCAGTCTTCCACCTCACCAATTAGGTATGCTTCCCCACAAAACCAAGAGGGGACAGGCTGCCCTTGAGCGGCTGAAGGTGTTTGATGGCATCCCTCCTCCCTATGACAAGGTGAGTGGCTCCGGCTGTTTAATACTCCAGTCTGCTTTTTGAGTGCTGTCAATGATGCCTTTTTTTTACCTACATTGTTCGATTCTTCAACATGAGAACATTTTACATATCTGAGTGGCACCCGTCACTTCTTCGCCACAAATGGTGTCTTGTCCGTCGCTCACCTGTTGGTTGCACTGTACAGAAAAAGCGCATGGTGGTGCCTGCTGCTTTGAAGATTGTTCGCCTGAAGCCATCTCGCAAGGTATGTTCCGGAAAAAATAAAATAATCCATTTTCCTGCGCATATTGGTTGTTACAATTAGGATGGAACCTGTTGACAAAGTAAGCACTGTGAATTCCCCCCTCATTGTGGGTGATATACTATTCTTACCAACTGTGTTTCTGTCTCGCTTGCCTCAGTTTGCCCTGCTTGGCCGCCTGGCTCACGAGGTTGGCTGGAAATACCAGGCCATCACAGCCACCCTGGAGGAGAAGCGGAAGGAGAAATCCAAGATGCGCTTTAGGAAGAAGAAGGCTGAGCGGAAGCTACAGAAGGTGGCAGAGAAAAACGTGGAGAGCAAAATTGCAAAATACACTGATGTTCTGAAACAATATGGCATCCTTGTATGAGCTGGCTTTGACTCATCAAAATAAATGTTTATAGAAATTATTCGAATCATTTTTCCTTATTGCATGTGTGAGTGGAGGGCCTTAAAATTTGGCCAGTTTGCTTGTGCATGTATGAGGAGGATTGTATTAGCATGTCTGTTCTCAAGTGGACGGACAGATTTAATATCTACATCTGTTTACGATCCCGAGACGGTGCTCCCAATCCCCACAGGCAAGTATGCAGGTGGCATGTGAATCCAACAATGCCAAAGAACCTAGGTTACAAAGGAATCGCGCCGTCCCGCCCGTTTCTTTGCTTTCATTGGCTGAGACTTTACGTCCATCACTGTGGCACTGTGTGATTGGTTCTTAATTTTCTTACGCCACGACCCTGGAAAGTGGCATTGGAAACCCCGCGGTGGAGTTGCGTGCGCGCACCCATAGTCAGGGTCGGGTTGACCGCGAGGAAGTGCCGTGGACGATCGTCGGCGCCGTCTTGAGTGTTGCTCCGTGGGCAGAACCAAATAAAGACTTATCAAATTCAAATCAACCACGTCGAGCCCTTTCTTCCATAACCTGCTCCGAGACGTGAACTGCGGGAGGCTGCAGTGAACAGCATTTTGTGAAGGAGCGGTAAGTACTCGCCGGGTTTCGTGGTTTTTTTTTCACCCTCATGGCTGAGGGATGGCTTGTTTGGAGGATTTTAGTTAGGCCCCTAATTTTTAACTAATGCATGTGAGTGAATACCAGGTAAAAAGAGCATATGTGGAATTTATTTTAAGGGTCGCTGTGCACCCTTCAATAACTGAGTAGCATTCGCGTTTTGTTTTGCTACTAATTTCGGTTTTCTAAAGGCTGGCAGAAAATCCAATACCGAGGCGTACAGTTTGAGGGGGGCGGAACGGCTTTTTGTGTACAATCAGCCTCAGTCGCGCCGTAACCATTGTGCTAACACCGATATGCTTCGCACCGCTTCGCTTTACGCCTCGTTAAAAGCGGAACCCCCCGCCGGCGATCCGGTAGGATTGGCGCAGTAGTGCCGCGTCTCAGCGGCGGCTCCGTTAGCTAGGCGGCCGCCGCCGGCTGTTTTTTTTTTTTCGTAACCCCCCCATGAGCCGCCGCTGCCGCGCGCCGGCCGTGACGCGTCTCCTCGGCTCGTGCGCCTGTGCGGCGGATTCTGCACGAGCCGGTGCAGCGGAGCCGGCTATCCGGAGTGTGATGGAGGGATCGCTCCGACGCCGGCTTTGTTCACTCACTCGCCGTTAGCCGGGCAGGAGCGGCTTCACGGCCTGTCTCATGGCGGTCGGAGATGTCTCCCGGTGAGCGGCAGCGTGTGGATGAGTTAAAGTTGCAGCAACGAAGAGGATCTGGTGTCCAGACTGATCCAGCCGTGATGGGCTTCGTCCCTTACGCCTGAGAGCTTTCTCTAGACTGATTTATATTATATTAGCACTGATCAGATACTGATGTAGTTCCACTAAACTTACACGCATTCTCGTTGTATCAGTTCTTGCCCTGAGATCTGGCTTTGCTGTGATCGGCAGGAGAATGGCGGCTGAGGTGAACGGCAACTCAGCTCCTGTGAAGGAGGACGAGGAGCCTATGGACATCACTGTCACGCACACGGAAAACTACCAGACGCTCCTGGCCGCCGGCCTCCCGCAGAAAGTCGCAGAGAGCCTGGACAACATCTTTCAGACAGGTGGGGGGTGCTCTGTGCCTGCGCTCTGCACTTTTAAAGATGCTGTATAGGATGTTCAGGAGTTGGGAGATTGTAAAATGTATTACTGACCCTCTAAATGAGTGCCGGTGGCAACATGGGCATGCTGGTGGATGCATGACTGCTCTCTTAGAGTCATGTGTTTTCTCAGGGGGTCAGTCATTGTGATGCCTGACTCTGAGATAGGAACCCTGTTAATAGCATTTACTTTAAACCTATAATCTTTAGGCCTTGTGGCTTATGCTGACCTGGACGAGAGGGCCATTGATGCTCTGAGAGAGTTCAATGAAGAGGGGGCGCTGTCTGTTCTGCAGCAGTTCAAGGAGAGTGATCTGTCCCATGTGCAGGTAGGCATGTCTGCTGAAGGCTCCCCATTCCTCCTGTACTTGTGCCATTGTGGTGGGCATGTCCTCACATGCTAAATTTCCCCTGATTTTCTTTTTCTTTTTAATGTGCGGCCCCTTTCAGAACAAAAGTGCGTTTCTCTGCGGGGTCATGAAGACTTACAGGCAGAGGGAGAAGCAGGGCAGCAAAGTGCAGGAATCCACCAAGGGGCCGGACGAGTCCAAGATCAAGGTGATGTATCGCCTGCACTGCCCAGCAGAGGGCCTGGCCCCGGGGCCCTGTGTCATGGCATTGTTTGTGCTTACCTTTGTGGCCCCACGTCATCCCGCAGCTTGTGCTCACTTTCGGGGCCTCGTTATTGGGGCCGCGCATCATCCCACTGTTTGTGCTTAATGTACTTTCACAAATGGCTTAATCTGCTGACTTCCACGTGCTCTGAGCTCAATGCTGTAAGTGATAAGTGTAAATTAGCAGCAGTGAGCGCTGTTCTGGCTTGGCGCCTCTGCTCACTGCATGTACATTAAAGGCATTAAGGCATGAGCTGGATTGCTGTCCTGACAATGACACAGGGCTGCTTTACTCCTGAGCTGGTGGAAATACCAGTGGGACTGGATTGGGGCAAACGGGCCAGTTTTGTTGCGTGTTGCGTATGTTTATCCCGTCCTCCCTCTTACGGTGTGCCCCACAGGCGCTCCTGGAGAGGACAGGCTATACCCTGGATGTCACGACTGGTCAGAGGAAGTATGGAGGCCCCCCTCCTGAGGAGGTGTTTTCTGGGTCTCAGCCAGGAGTGGGGACAGAGGTAAGGACCCAAATCACCTTATTTTTCATTTGCTGAGACCATCCCATAGTGTTTCCATGTTTAGTCAGAGGCAAGCAGGTATCTATTGATGTGGGTATGAGTAGAGAAAGAGAGCTACAGTGGCAGCTATGTAACTTGTTTCAGTGGTATGGGAACACTGTGATACAGGCTTGTTTGTATAAAAATAAACTCTTATACAATTGGGTGTGATGGGGGGGGGGGTGGTGGGCAGGAGATGCTGACCTGACAGTTGTTTTCTGTGGTCATCCCAGGTGTTTGTGGGCAAGATCCCCAGGGACCTGTATGAGGATGAGCTGGTACCGCTGTTTGAGAAGGCAGGCCCAATCTGGGACCTGCGGCTGATGATGGACCCACTGTCGGGCCAGAATCGAGGTTATGCCTTCATCACCTTCTGCAACAAGGAGGCGGCGCAGGAGGCCGTAAAGCTAGTGAGCTCATTGCTGTGGGTCTAGCGGGGAGGGGCTCTTCGGGCAGGTTCCGCGGGGAGGTGCAGGCTGAAGGTGCTGACGGAAATTTAATCCTCCCGTTGCCAGTGTGATAACTACGAGATCCGGTCCGGCAAATACCTTGGAGTCTGCATTTCCGTAGCAAACAACCGGCTGTTTGTGGGCTCAATTCCGAAGAACAAGACCAGGGAAAGCATCTTGGAGGACTTCAGCAAAGTGACAGGTTTGAGGGGGTCCACCTTTCTCTGTCGCTACCTGGTTTCTCTGCCCCATGTATGACTGGGTCTGGTTGATTGTTTACCCTTACGGCTAACAGTAGGAATTTGCCTTGGTTATCTCACTAAGAGATGACAACTGGCTCCCCTGGCCAGTGCTCCAGGGTTTCATCTCCTCTGAACCATTGGTCTCTCTCACCCTGTGACCATGACCCGTTTGCAGCTTGTGTTGACGCTGCAGTCTGTGTAAGTCTCTTGCTTCACTGCTCCCCAGAGGGCCTGGTGGAGGTCATCCTGTACCACCAGCCGGACGACAAGAAGAAGAACCGCGGCTTCTGCTTCCTGGAGTATGAGGACCACAAATCAGCCGCACAGGCCCGTCGCCGGCTGATGAGCGGGAAGGTGAAGGTGTGGGGCAACCCAGTCACTGTGGAGTGGGCCGACCCGGTCGAGGAGCCTGACCCAGAGGTTATGGCCAAGGTGAGACACCCATTGATGGCGTTCACTTCACGGTTCATGTCGCCTCGCAGATTGAACAGATGTTGAAGTCCGGAGTCGTTACGCAGATGTCACAGTACCTCAGCTGGTAGTGTGCTTGGCTGTTTCCATCAGGTCAAGGTGCTGTTTGTGAGAAACCTTGCCACGCCTGTCACAGAGGAGCTCCTAGAGAAGACCTTCTCTCAGTTCGGGAAGCTGGAAAGGGTGAAGAAACTAAAGGACTACGCCTTTGTCCACTTTGAGGACAGGGACGCTGCCGTCAAGGTTAGAGACTGACTCAAGTGTTACTTTGTAGACCATCAAGGTGGCATTTTCCCCGGGAATGACCATGGGAAGTAAGGGGGGGGGGGGTGGTGTCGACTTTCCCTGGCAATCAGTCAGTGTGAATCAGCAATCGATCCCTTGCACCCGCTAGGCCATGCAGGAGATGAACGGCAAAGAGCTGGAGGGGGAGGAGATCGAAATCGTCCTGGCGAAGCCACCGGACAAAAAGAGGAAAGAACGGCAGGCGCAGAGGCAGACCACCAGAAACACGGGGTGGGTCTGGGGGGGGGTCCCGCTCGCCCAGTGCGTGTCAGGCGGTCTCCATGCCATGCTGTGAAGGCTTACCTCTCTTCTCACCTGCCGCAGGTATGATGACTATTACTACTACCCACCTCCCCGCATGCCGCCGCCCGTCCGAGGCCGGGGCCGCGGAGGGAGGGGTGGCTATGCCTACCCCCCCGACTACTATGGATACGAGGAGTACTATGACGACTACTATGGCTACGACTACCATGATTACAGGGGTGGCTATGAGGATCCATACTATGGCTACGACGACGGCTATGCTGTGAGAGGGCGGGGCGGACGTGGCAGCCGGGGGGTCCCGCCTCCGCCCAGGGGCAGAGGAGCTCCGCCCCCTCGTGGCCGTGGCGGCTATGCCCAGCGGGGGGCGCCCATGGGTGCACCACGGGGCAGCCGAGGGGGACGGGGCGGCCCATCCCAGCAGCAACGGGGGCGTGGCGCTCGCGGCGCCAGGGGAAACCGTGGGGGCAACGTGGGCGGGAAGAGGAAGGCCGACGGCTACAACCAGCCAGACTCCAAGCGGCGGCAGACCAACAACCAGCAGAACTGGGGGTCCCAGCCCATCGCCCAGCAGCCCCTGCAGCAAGGTGGCGACTATTCCGGTAACTATGGTTACAATAATGACAACCAGGAGTTTTATCAGGATTCTTACGGCCAGCAGTGGAAGTAGACAGAAGTAAGGGTTTGGGGAAGCACTAAACACGCAGAAACGAGCGAGGAGATTGGCAACACAACCACGTCTGATTGGCTCTGTATCCTTTAACCTTTGTGCACAAACAGTCCAACAAAAATAACCGAGGCGAGAATTGGCTTCACATCATCCATGTGTTGATTGGCTGCGAGAGGCTGCAGTCCGTATTGGGATGAAGATGAGTGTAAATACAGCCTTTCTGAATTTTTTCATATCCTTTTGCTTTCCTTGTGGTTATTTGGGACATTTCTGGCTTTAAACGCTTAAATGCTTTTATTCCTTAAATTTTATTTCTTATTTTGTTGGTTTGTATTTTTTAATGCCTACATTTAACACTTTAAAGGTGGATTCTCATTTTCAAAAGTTTTTGAGAAGACGTAAATCATGAGTAACCTGCAGGAAGCAAAGACGCTCCCCCACTTCACACCTCCCCCTCTCCCCCCCCCCCAGGACTTGTCCCCTGTCAGGTTCCTGATAGACGGGCTTAGCAATTTGCTTGTATATAAAGGCTGAAAGCCTGAGTTTATTTTAATCTGTTGAGCACCATTGGGGAAGGTTAACCAACGGGGAGAGATGAAGAATTTCCATTTTTTTCTTGTATTGGGAAAGTAACGTTACAGTGTATGTTTAGCATTTGTAGAAGTAGGTTAATTGTGTTTTTTAAAAAACTGTTATTACGAGCTTTCTCTCTCAAATTTGCCCTTTAGAATTTGGTTTGGCTGAACCGTAACAGCCCAGGCCGTTTGTTCTTTGATGTGTTTGTATTTATAAATTGTTCTTGTTACATTTCAATAAAACTCAACCATACATCATTCGATTATCAGCTACTTCAAATTCAGTTGTGTCATTGGCCTATTTGATCTCGCCAAATCCGACCTGCCTCAAGATGGAAAACTTACGTAATGTGAGTGATCCTGCTTGCTCAAAAAAGCATTGTGTTTTTGAAACAAAATCTGTATTTAATAGCAGTTCACTTTCTGCAAAAATGTCTGCAAAAAGACACGCTCCAACCAACCAACCGACCCCCTTCCCCACCAAAAACGACAGCAGAAAAACCCAAATACCAAATAGCTGGTTCGGTCAACTCTGTAGGACGGAACACCATCCCCAATCTCTCAAAATCAGGAATTTTAACCCTTTGCTTTCCAGCATTTCAGTGTTTTCTTTCAGCATCGCCATTTGGGCCTTCAGAAAATCACATGATAGTTTGCTGCACGTATATTAGTGACAAATGTACAACGATCTATTTAGACATCCCCTGTTACTGAGCACTTGCTTGTATCTTATTCTGTGGATTGAAATCATCAGGGAGTGCCTTGTCCTGAAGAGACCTGGTATAGCCATGGTAGTGTAAGCTCTATTAAGGCTTTGTGTCTGCTATCGGACGACTAGTAGCTCATTGCCAGTAGGGCAGCACCAAGGAGAACATGCCAAAAGTGAACAGTCTGTGTGAACGCATCTTATTCAGCCCCTCAGAAACATCAGCTGCTTCTGGCAACCAAAGGGTTAAATCCGATTATCTGATTAAACCATAGTCTGATTATCATTCTGCTTCGTTTGGCTGCACTTGAAACAATAAAAATACTTGTGTGTAAAATACAAACATTCCCTTTCCTATTAAAATGGAAGTCTGCAGCTCATTTTTCATTTTTGTTTGTCCTTTTCCCCTCTTTCTTTTTAATTAACATGGGTTTGTTTATGGGTTTGTTTTTGTTTGTTTAAGTTTCTCCTTTTATTTCGAATCACCCAGGTGAAGACGCGAGAGGGGCAGCGATTGCGTGAGTGAGGAACACATCTATCTCTGCTGTGTTCTTCCCAAAAAGGGTGAGCTTGGTCTACCTCTTCAACTCTAACTGGAGTTCTCTCCTTCCCGGGGACGACCAGCGTGCCCCTCCCTCACATGTTTTGCTCAGTAAAAATGAATCGATTTGATTTGATAAGGAGTAGCATAACAACTTCCTGGTTAGGCAGCTGATCTATGAAACATTGATGGCTTACGTCTGACATTCAGGACATCTTTGGTTGGTGAATCTCTTTTTGGTTGGCTATGGACAGCATTCGTTGTAAACCCTCCTTTTACCCTGAGAAGGATCTATATTTTGAAGGAGGTATGTTTACCGAAGAGAGTAAATGTTTGTTTACTGAACAAAACATGGAGTACTGTTCAGATGAGGCCTTCAGTTGTTAAGTCCCCACACTAGTGATGTTCACTGCTCACACCAAAACGACCAAGGGAAGCACTGAAGCTGAAAAGAGAGGAAAACCCAGTGGCCCAGTGTTTGTAGGGGCTTCATCCATCGTCCTCAGAACAACATGAGAATGGGTGATGGAGAATGGATGAGATCCCACTAGATAAGGTGTATTCAGCCCTGGACCTGGCTGGCTGGGCTGCTTCAAAGTGTTCACTTCAGCCAAGCCCTTTAACCAGATCTTTGCTCAAATGGGTGGATCCAGGCTTCTCCATTAGGACCGAGGTTGGTTGGTTGTCTCTCTAAAGTTAAAACCGGCACGTGCCGCAGCTCTTCTAGGGCTGGATTGACCACCTTGGATGCAGCCTTTTGTGGCACTGCAAGCATGCTAATGTCCACTAGGGGGCACAGGCGCTACTGCAGCTTGTCTCTGCAGGACTGTCATTCTTTCAAGCATGTGCAGAACTACAAATGGACCAAACGATCTGATCACCTGCTGTTCTGATTGGCTGTTTTACTTTAATCTCTGATTTGGGATAAAATGTAACACTGTTTTTCACTGCATTAAATATAAAAACAGTAAAAAGCTTGCTATCCTACAATTGTCTCTTCCGTTATCTAAATTATATATACGTCTATGTGCGTTAATGAGCTAAGGAGTTTGGAAACTCACATTTGACGCAGTGAAACCACAGAGTAGCGATTATTGTTAACCGGTGTGCTGTGACTCCTAGCTAAACAATCCAGCCTCCAAGATGCCACTATGCTTAGGATGTGCTGTTATTTCTTGCAGGGTAAGTATATCCCCTTCTGCACTGTGGTGATTTTGTCATGATTTGAATGAAGTTTTCCCTGAGTGTTGACACTGACCAAAATAGAATTACAACCACCAACCCCCTTAGACTCTTGGAAAATTACTCACACACTCGCCAATTTCATTCAAATATCAAAATGAAAATCATTGACTAGCACGTCTCTTACACTGGGGATAGATTTTTGTAAATGGCCAAAGGTTGGTTATATCCAGCTCTCATTAGTAAAGAGTGCCAGCATTTACACTGAGTGTTTCTCTAAGTGCTTCCCCGAGAGTGTAGCAGCACCCCGCCATTCACTGGTCCCAGCAGAGGCGTCTGCCCTTCTGCACCTTTATGCTGCACCCAGGTGTGATCTTTCCACTGGGAAGCAGTGTTTCGTGATGATACTCTGCAGTGACTTACTGCCTGGCTGCTGGGCTTCTATGCCGGGAAAAGCCGTATTGAACCACCTGTGAAAGTATGCTGGCCTTTCCTCTCTGTGAAGTGTATGGATGAGTTTCCCAAATTTTGCTCCAGCCTTTACGAACCACCAAGAGCTGAAAATAAACCCAGCGCCACAGCCCTCCAGGGACATTACAGCCCTCTGATCTGAAGTCTGGCTGCGTTTGGAATCACTAGCCTGGCAAACTGCTAGTCTGTGACAGTTATGGGAAGATCCATTTCCAAACGAATGGGGAATGAAAGCTGGTCATGTGACTATCTCCTCCCTTCTGGTAGGATATTCAGGTCAGTGGGTGTGAGGGTTTCCCCCCTACATGTCATGCTTATCAGAATGGAAACCACAACCAGCCTGTCTTCTGGCTCTTCAGTCTTATAGAGAACATTTGACAACACTGAAAGTAGCCCCCTGCCATGTTTGGGACACACAGGACAGTCAGACAGAAGGAATCTGAGTTGCGTCAGATAACCTCAGGCAGCGATGTGCAGCTTTTTTGTAATCTGTTGCCTTGCCTTTTTTTTTTTTTTTTACCTGGCTTATCTATCAGGCTCGTGTGAGGAGGCCCCCGCCCCTGTCTTGTCACGATCTGGACTTGGTAGGTGGGGCTTCGAGACGAGGCAAAGATGAGGATTTCTGGGTAAGGACATCCCCTCCCTCACTGTTTATCTTTTATTTATTCCTATATTGTTGTCAGGATTGAAAAAGTTTGAGCTGCCGATAAAGGGGCCATTTCATACAGAGGGTCTAACCCCCCCCCCCCCCCCCCCCCCCCCCCCCATTTCGAGCGTGTAGGAGTAGGTTTTGTTTGTGCGAGACTTGAAAATGTCCCATGGGTAACATGAGGCTGTAATCGTAGCCTTCACACGGGGGGGCTCAAAGAACATTCCAGAGCTGCTTCGGGAAGGGGGGCACCTGAGGGGCCGAGCCCAAGCCCAGGCAGCGTATGGCAGGCAGAGCGACCCCAACATACGTGGATGTCAGCAAGCTGCCTTGAACGTGCGTTTGGGGCACTGAGCGCCAGAACCCTGCTGTGGAAGCCAGGACTGAGGGGATGGAGAGAGCGAGGCCAGGTGATGCCCTCGGTCCTCATCGTATGGATATTCCTTATCTCTCAGGGTTCCCCTCTCTTTTTGGCATTTTGCATTCAAAACCACCCCCCCCCCTTCCTCTCAGCGGCCCCCGTGTCTGCTGTGGCTAAAAGGATTACAGTGGTTGTGGGCCGCACATCCCCCCCCCTCTCTGTGCTGGCGTCCTGCCTGCGGGCCAAACACAGCTCCCCGACCCTCAGGATGCATCAGGTGGACTCTCAGGAGCTGAGGTAGGTTAGAGGTGCCCTGTTCCCTTCCGCATGCCCCACGTCTGCAAGAGGACCCCCTTCCACAGTTACCTGATCCTGCGGAGGGCATATTAGCGCCGACCGTGTCTCTCAGCCGTCAGCATCGTGCTGCCTGCCCTGGATACTGTTGCCCCCACAGTGTTTGAAGGCTGCATGGTCATGTTTTCGTCTTTCAGACATCTGTGTTTTACTGGAGGGAATCTGCAAAATCAAGGATATCCTACAACTCTCACACACACCAGCAGCAGTATTTGAACATGTCATGTTACCTCCAGTGTAATTTTAATAGCCTGTTTGACACTGGTCTGTAAACCAGGAAGACGGCGGTCCACTCTGTGTGCGTTTAGTGTGACTCGCGTCCAGGAGATGCTTTTAATCATGACCGTCTCCATTAGCAGAATGACTTATCCAAGTGTTATAAATTAACATGTGGGTCAGTTCTGCTAACAGCCGGATCTGCTGCACCTCCCATTTACTGTGCTGCACTACAAATTAACACCGCAGAGTTCCACCAGGAATTTATAGGAATTTCAACTTGGAACACATGGAAAGAAATATAAATACACCAGGCGATGCACCATTTTCACCCCATCTGCTTTTAAATTATCACTGTTTGACTGTTTGTTTTTGTGTATTGCCAGTTGTTAAGAATGCATGTACACAATAATAAAGTGTTTAACAACCAAACTTTATCTCTGACTGTGGCTGGCTACTCCCCTCTCAAGTCGTCACTGCTAAGGACTATGATCCTGTGGTGTTTCTCTGGGGTTTGGGATGGATTTCTGCACCGTCCTGTCTCACTTCCAAATGTAGTTCATTTGTCACTTGCATCGCACAAACACTAGAGGGCATTGTAACACTTCACATTGCTTGCCTGAGGCCCAGGGATGGTTTAGTCTTCTTCCTTGCAATCTCTTTAGTTTTCCTTAGATTTAATAAACGATTTGCTAATTAAGTGGTGGGCAGTTGGCAGCGTGCCACGTCTGACCGGAAACACCCTGATGGCAGGTCCATTTCTGAAACTCACTTTTTTTTAGTGTTAAAAAAGGAACATGCGGAGGTCATACAGTTACTCGGGGCTTTAGAAATCTCATTTGAAAGATTCTCCCATAAAGATGTGCGAGGTCATGTTAATGGGCATTTAGGCACCGGGGATGTGCTGCTTACAGGGGACTTCACAGGGACGTATGGGACAATGGGTAACGTTAAACCGGACGCCGACTCAGGCCAGCGGAGGACGTTTATTCAGGGATGGCATCATATTTTTGAGTCCGTGACCTCAACATTAGCTATCTGTATTTGTGACAATGTGAGAAATATGATTATTTTAAGGTTAGCAAACCTGTTACTGTGTTATCTCAGGTCAGGCGGTGAGTCACGCCTTCAAAGTGCCGAAATGCTTCTGATGCGGTCGGCGTTACCATGGTCACTTATCACCTGCTCTCACCTTGATATAAGATGCTTCCTTGACTTCCTTGATGTCTGCTGCTGTTTTTCTAGAAGTATGCTTCGTGTTTGTTTGTTTGTTTCTCAGCAGCATACGGTTGGTGCTCCGCCGTCTCCGGCAGGCTTTACTGCATTGGGTCACTATAGGAGTTCAAGGCCCTGTACTGCTTCACATCGCTGAAGTGGATGTTTGCCTAACAGGTGAATGAGCCTATTGTACCGGGAAGGCGAACCTGATCCATGGAGAGCCACTCAGCCAGTGATAAAGCAGTGGTTCTCAACTTCAGTCCTGGGGGGCCACTGTTATTGGCTTGAGAGGTCATCCCAAACACCTGCACACACAGCGACTCTCCATGCATCCAGTTCACCCCCCCCCTCCCTAGCTATATGTAAATGAATATAACTGGGAGTCAGGTTCCTGCTGTGGTCTCTCAGTCAGGCAAACTCTCCTGAGGAAACAATGGCAAGTGGCAGGAAGCAACTGAAATTCTCGTCTCCTATTGGAGGGATGCCAATGAAGGTGGAGTCATTCAGCAAGACGCCGGTTCCCCGGCCCTTTTCCAAAGATGGAGTTAAAAGTGAGGAATGGTTGTTTCTTGAAAGGACCTGCATAGTGACTGTGAAGAAGGAGGAGCCACGCTTCTGGGCAAACCCGTTTCAGAAGCCATCTATTCTTATTCTAGGGGGTTGGGGCATTAGCTGGGCCAGAAGTAACCTGTTCTCCTTTAATTGGGTTTGTTTCACTGCTGAAGTTTCCTTTTTTCAGTGATAAAGCCTGTCATCCTGTCACCAGCCTGGAGATCGAGGGTATCGAGCTGTTGCTTCTACCATTGATTAAATCTGTGTTCTCTGGGATGGAGTTTGGTCCATCTCTTGAGAAGCTACTCCGGGGTTAATTGGACATGTGTTTTATTGGTCGGCACTTAATTGCTTACCTGTTTCCTTTTATAGCTGGTTTGCACTGCACCTGTGCGTAAACCAGGCCATTTGATCTGTGGAGAAGTTTATAATATTGCCCACATGTGGAATCGTTCGTACATCCATTTTCTAAGGTTCAGTTATGTTTTCCTTTGCAGTTTCTATTATGACTATTTATTTATTTATTTTACTTAATGATGCGTGCAATGAACCTCACATTCTTGTGTTACTTATCTATCCTGTAAAGTGATGTTCAATGGGGAAACAAGCTCTCCTAGGATCCGTGGTGTTAATGTGAGCAGATGCTGAGCCCTGGGTCATTGACTCTGGTTCTGCAGCAAGTCCTGGGAGGAGATGATCAGAGCATTGGTGGACCTGCAGGGGGGGGGGGAGAGAAGGTTCTACAGCCATGGAGAAGAGGCTGAAGGGGATGTAGGTAAACAGATCCTGCCGTCTGAGGCCTTCTGTCAATCTCAGAGGAGTAGCACTGTAACTGTATACGTTTGACTGTAGTCTTGTGCGTATAAATCAAATACCATTACAGTGTGCTTGCATTCATCAGTATTTGCACATATTTGCACAAGTGTCATATTTGCATCTGTTACTGTTTGTATTATGATGATGCCTCTTAGATTAGATGAGGGATAGCAGGAGGCACTTAACCTTTTATTTGTGGTCTCTCTTTCTCTCTCTCTCTCGCGTTAATGTCTAACAGCCGAGGCCTGGGTGGAGCTGAAGGTCTAGAAGTAGCATCTTCACCAGCGGTGGTGCGAACTGCTGTAGGCCACCCAGGATGTCTGCAGAAGACCAGGGAGTAGTCGGCGTCTGCATCTGTGGAAATGGGCACATTGCAACAGCAGATACGCGGATGTGGGCTTCTGTGCCATGCGAGTGTGGGAGGTGGGGGTGAGGGTGACCCCCCCCTCCGTTAGCCTGCACACCGGCCCTCTCAGTGTGCGGCTATTCAGCTATTGAAATGGTTTCCTGGCAGGTGAGCATGGTTGGGTGGGTGGGGGGGGGGGGGGGGCAGGGCTGACTGTTTGCTCTCGCCTGCAGCCAGTATGCCACACGGTCCTTTGTTGGACAGATGCGCCCCCTTTGTTGTCTTATGTCTATTTTGGGTGCAGCTCGAGCTGCAGGTGCCCATTGATTGATGGGACGGGTGTCCAGGTGGGGTGGGGGGTGTTTGAGGGGGAAGGTTATGTAGCTGCACCCACTGGGGCTAAACGGGGGTAAAGGAGCAAACTCAGGTCTGCCAGCGGGTGACGGCCACAGATGGACTGAGCCGGGTTAGACTACTGCGTGTGTGTCTGTCTGTCTACTGTGTCTCTGTGTGTGTCTGTGTGTTCGTATTTGTCTGTCTACTGTGTGTGTGTGTGTCTCTGCGTCTGTCTGCTGCATGTCTCTGCTGTGTGTGTGTGTGTCTTCCTGTGTGTTATTCTTTTGTTAATTTCTATAAAAGGCCTCCCTTTTCCTGGCTCCTGGTGACATGCCTCTCAGATGCTATTTTGTGCTGAATTTAATTTCCATGTTTGTGGGATGTTGGCCGTCATTGTAACAGGCAGGTGTCACGCTCTAGATGCTGCGGTGCCCCCCAGCCCTGTCTCCCGTCCTGTCAGGGTATGGTAATGACAGTTGCCCTCTGGTATTCAGTGAACTTGAAGGGATGTTGATGTACTTGTTAGAATTAACGCCACACTTACTGCTCTCTGATTGGCTCTTTGCGGTCAGATGGTGGGGAACCAGTCATTGTCAGATGCTGAGCACCGGACTTAAATGGAGTCACATATCCTACAGGGATAAAGAGAGTTCAGCACAACTGAATTGCACGCAGGGAGTCCGACCAGGGGGAGTCCGGTCGGAGCGAGTCGCATGCGGGGTGTCCAGCCGGAGTGAGTCATATGCAGGGAGTCCGACCGGGGGGAGTCGAATCGCACACGGGGAGTCCAGGCAGAGCGCCACTCACATGTGGGGATTCTGGCCAGAGTGAGTCACAGAGTGACTCAGACATGGCAAGCGAGACTAGGGCTGAAGACCCAACATCCAGCAGAGAAAATGCCCTCAGTGCCTCCTTATCAGATGACTCTCCTCTCACTCCCAGATTCTTTTACGCTAAAAATAATCAGTCATCCAGTAAAAGTAGTGGGTACTGGTATCTAATTTGTCTTGGTTGTGTGATTTGATCTGTAATTTCCTTGTCCTGACAGGGACAGCAGTCCCATATATCTTGCTTTGATCTGGAGCTAGTGAATCCCAGCAAGCTAATGAACTGGCCTCAGCAGCAGTTGGGTGGTGCATATGTACAGCGTTAGTCTCCATGGCGATAGGAAGCACGTATATTGGAGCGGCAAGGTGCAGGATGTGGGGGAGGAGATGGGGTACTGTGCCACCCTGAGCTCTCAGCTATGGCCTCTGTAGGCAGGGACCGGCTCCCCCTGAGGGCCAGGACCCCGTGGGCCTGACAGGGTGCCGGAGCTCTGCCTGGCCTGGGGGCACTGGGCCGGTGCGTGGTGCTTTGCCGATGAGCTCCTCGGGGGGGGGGGGGGGGGCTGAGGCTGCATTCAGCCATCGCTGCTGGGCACGTGTCCTGCCTGCTGAGAGAAGCTCCCGGCTGCTCAGCTCAATCAGAGGTTCTACGTGCTGGTGGTGGATTAGTGAAGCGCAGCCGGATGCGGCGTCTAGTAGGTGTCCATCTTAAACGCGACTGTAACATCATACTAGTACAGTATTATCTATAGTGAGCTGTTGCAGTTTCTTTGGCACTTCAGAATCACACAGCAAGGGGGCGCTGTCTTGTCACAGACACCCGCCTCAGAGTTGGACCCTCCCCACCACCTGAAGAGACTAAGAGAATTGATTTAGAAAAAATCCTAGCTTCCAGCTGTCAGTGTACAGAAGATGCAGCCTTCTGCTGGTAAGCGGATGGGCTCTGCTGTTTGCAGGCTGACCTGCTGAGGGGTCTGCGGGATGAGCATGCTGAGGCCGCTTAGCTGGATCTCACCGTGAACTCGTCAGGGACCTTTAGGTCTTTGGGGTTTTCTGCCTGTTTGCAAGTTCCTCAAACATTTCAGCAGTTCAAGACATGGTGTGACCCAAAGGACAGGGCACGGGTGTGTTCACACGCACGGGCGTGCTCTGCTTCTGGATAGCGGGGTGGCTGTCTCGGTCCTCGGCCTTGTCATTGTCAGTCAGAGTGACGGTTCTATCTGTGACAGGAAGAGGGAAGGTATTGTGATGCTCTGCAAAGTGCCGTAGAGCTCAACTCGTTCCACGATTCTGAGCTCTGCCTGTTTCCCACAGAGACAGCAAGCCAGAGTGCCAACTTCTC